CTGGGGGGCACTGGGAGGGACTGGGGGGCACTGGGAGGGACTGGGATGGACTGGGGGGGACTGTGATGGACTGGGGGGGACTGGGATGGACTGGGAGGGACTGGGATGGACTGGGATGGACTGGGTGGCACTGGGATGGACTGGGAGGGACTGGGTGGCACTGGGAGGGACTGGGAGGCACTGGGGGCCACTGGGAGGGACTGGGATGGACTGGGTGGCACTGGGATGGACTGGGATGGACTGGGTGGCACTGGGAGCTGCAGTGGGGTGAGGGCAGTGCCCGTCCCGCGGTGCTGGGCACTGCTGAGGTCAAACCCTGAGCCCTGGGGTTGGTTTTGGGCCCCTTGAGGGGCTGGGGCTCATCCGGAGCTGGGAGTGGGGCTGACTGGGATGGACTGGGTGGCACTGGGAGCTGCAGTGGGGTGAGGGCAGTGCCCGTCCCGCGGTGCTGGGCACTGCTGAGGTCAAACCCTGAGCCCTGGGGTTGGTTTTGGGCCCCTTGAGGGGCTGGGGCTCATCCAGAGCTGGGAGTGGGGCTGGGGAAGGGTTTGGGGCATCAGGAGAGGCTGAGGGGGCTCAGAGGGGGCTCGGAGGGGTCTCCTCGCTCCCCACACCTCCCCACAGCAGGAGGGGACAGCCAGGTGAGGCCAGGCTCTGCTCCCAGGGGACAGGAGGGGACAAAAAGGCATCCAGGGGAGGTTTTTGGGATTTTAGGGAAAATTCCTTGATGGAAAAACTGCTCAGGCCAGGGGGGATCCCCATCCCTTGAGGGGGTTGAATGATTGTGTGCATGTGGCACTTGGGGACAAGGTCAGTGGTGGCCTTGGCCTCTGGGCCACCACCAAGGGGTCCCAAGGGTTTTCCATGCCAAGCGTGTCCCTTATGCCACCCCGGCGTGCCCTCGCAGAGCCAGGTCTGTGCCAACTCCAGCAGCCCCCACTCCTCGCTGTTCCCCAACAACAGCGACGCCCTGGAGGTGGACATCTACAAGGGGGTGAGTGGCCCTGGGGACAGCTCGGGGACAGCCCTGGGGCCCTGGAGGGTGTCCCCAGGGGTGACAGCCATGGCCAGGACAGCCCAGTGACCCTGGAGGGTGTCCCCTGATGTCCCCAGTGTCCCTGTCGGGTGTCCCCTGGTGTCCCCAGTGCCCCTGTCACTGTCCCCTGATGTCCCCAGAGCCCCTGTCAGGTGTCCCCAGTGTCCCTGTCGGGTGTCCCCTGGTGTCCCCAGTGCCCCTGTCACGTTCCCCTGGGGTCCCCAGGGTCCCCTGTCAGGTGTCCCCTGGTGTCCCCAGTGCCCCTGTCACTGTCCCCAGTGCCCCTGTCAGGTGTCCCTGTCGGGTGTCCCCAGTGTCCCTGTCACTGTCCCCAGTGTCCCTGTCACTGTCCCCTGCCGTTGCTGGATGAACTGGCGGCGCTGGGGCTGTGACCCCGAGCGGGGTCCCCAAAAGCCGGCTGGGTGGGGACACCCCGGGGTCCCCGAGTTCCTCCTGGGTGTCGGTGCCCCCTGACGGAGCTGCTCCCCCAGGGCGTGGTCCTGGGCTGCTACTTCGGGCCCGCCGCCCTCTACATCTGGGCCATCGGCATCCTGGCGGCCGGGCAGAGCTCCACCATGACGGGCACCTACTCGGGCCAGTTCGTCATGGAGGTAACGCGCTGCCGTCGCTCTAACTCAGCCCTTGCGCAGCCCTTACTCAGCCCTTACTCAGCCCTTACTCAGTCCTTACTCACTCCTTACTCAGCCCTTACTCAGCCCTTACTCAGCCCTTACTCCTTAGGAGGTAACGCGCTGCTGTCGCTCTTACTCACCCCTTACTCAGCCCTTACTCACTCCTTACTCAGCCCTTACTCCTTAGGGGGTAACGTGCTGCCGTCGCCCTTGCTCAGCCCTTGCGCAGCCCTTACTCACTCCTTACTCAGCCCTTACTCACTCCTTACTCCTTAGGGGGTAACACGCTGCCGTCGCCCTTGCTCAGCCCTTGCTCAGCCCGCCATCCCCCTGTCCCTGTCCCTGTCCCTCTCAGCTCCCGTTCGCGCTGATCCCGGTGCTCACCTTCACCAGCCTGCCCGGCGTCATGCACGACTTCGCCAACGGCCTGTGAGTACCAGGGCTCACCTGGCACACCTGGGAACACCTGGGAACACCTGGGCATGCCTTCTCCTCACCTGGGAACACCTGGGAACACCTGAGCACACCTGGGAACACCTGGGCATGCCTGGGAACACCTGGGCATGCCTGCCCCTCACCTGGGCACACCTGGGAACACCTGGGCACGCCTGGGAACACCTGGGCACGCCTGCCCCTCACCTGGTGCATCCCCTCATGTGGGCACACCTGCCCCTTGCCTGGGATCACCCACCCCTCATCTGGGCACACCTGGAAACACCTGCCTCTCACCTGGCCATGCCTGGGTATGGCTGGGAACACCTGCCCCTCACTTGGGCTCACCTGGGCATGCCTGGGCACACCTCCCCTCATCTGGGCACCCCTGAGCACACCTGGTGCATCCCCCTCTCCTGGGCACACCTGCCCCTCACCTGGGCACCCCTGTCCTCACCAGGTGTCTCCCCTCACTTGCAGCTCCTCCTCACCTGCAGCCCCCTCCCCTGCAGCCCCCCTCACCCCAGTATCTCCCCTCACCTGCAGCCCCCTCCCTCTGTGTCCCCTCACCTGCAGCCCCCTCATGCTGTGTCTCCCCTCCCCTGCACCCCCTGACCGTGTCCCTCCCCTGCAGCCCCTCACTCTGTGCCCCCTCCCCTGCAGCCCCCTCACTCTGTGCCCCCTCCCCTGCAGCCCCCTCACTCTACTC